TTTTATCTTGTCTTCTGCCAGTTTCAGCTCGTCTTCTTCTTGTTTTAGCATGTTTAACTTGTTTTAGCTTGTGTTCTGCTCATTTTAGCTTGTATTCATCTTGTTTTTTTGTTTTAGCTTGTTTTCTTTTTTGTTTTAGCGTGTATTCTGCTTGTTTCAGCTCATCTTTTACTTGATTCAGCTTGTCTTCTTGTTTAACTTGTATTCTGCTCGTTTTAGCTCATCTTTTTTCGTATTAGCACGTCTTCTTGTTTTAGCTTGTGTTCTGCCTGTCTCAGATCATCTTCTAGTTTTAGCTCATTTCAGCTCGTCTTTTTCTTGTTTCAGCTTGTCATATTCTTGTTTTATCTTTTTTGCTTGTTTTATCTTTTTTTGCTTGTTTTATCTTTTTTTGCTTGTTTTATCTTGTGTTCTACCAGTTTCAGCTCATTTTCTTGTTTTAGCATGTGTTTAGCTTGTGTTTTGCTCGTTTTAGCTTGTTTTCTTCTTGTTTTAGCTTACTTTCTTCCTTTTTTAGCTTGTATTCTTTTTTTGTTTTAGCTTGTATTATTCTTGTTTCAGCACATCTTTTACTTGATTCAGCTTGTCTTCTTGTTTAGCTTGTGTTCTGCCTGTCTCAGATCATCTTCTAGTTTTAGCTCATTTCAGCTCGTCTTTTTTTTTTTTCATCTTGTCATATTCTTGTATTATCTATTTTTGCTTGTTTTATCTTTTTTGCTTGTTTTATTCTGTGTTCTACCAGTTTCAGCTCATTTTCTTGTTTTAGCATGTGTTTTGCTCGTTTTAGCTTGTTTTCTTCCTGTTTTAGATTGTATTATTCTTGTTTTAGCTTGTGTTCTGCCTGTCTCAGATCATCTTCTAGTTTTAGCTCATTTCAGCTCGTCTTTTTCTTGTTTCAGCTTGTCATATTCTTGTTTTATCTTTTTTGCTTGTTTTATCTTGTGTTCTACCAGTTTCAGCTCGTTTTTTGTTTTAGCATGTGTTTAGCTTGTTTTAGCTTTGTGTTTTGCTCGTTTTAGCTTGTTTTCTTCTTGTTTCAGCTAGTCTTCTGCTTGTTTTAATTTTAACATTACCTTCATTTTCTTCATCAACTGTCAGTGAAGTCAGTCAACACGGTACTTTTGCATTAAATGCACATTTTATGGTTATTTATAAGATTTTCTTGCCTTCTTTTCATGTAAAAATCAGCCTTTATGACACAAAACGGCTGATTTTATCATTTTTAGATAACCGTTCAGGATGTTCCCGCGGCCTATTGCTACTCCTTCACTGATCCCCACATCCTGACCTTTGATGGCAGGTACTTCAGCTTCTGATGATAATCCTGAGGATGTTGGTGACGTCGTGTTATGAACAGTATTACAGCTATTTTCATTGTGTTTCTACAGCTCATAAAAAAATATGACTTCATTTTTTTAAGTAATGAAATTACTCCAGAATTCTTGGCGGTGAAAAAGTTGATCTAATGTTTTTCTTTGTTCCCTCAGGTTCTACGAAAACGATCAGATTGGGACTTTTGTTCTTTACCGGAGCAGCTTCAGGCGGTTTGAGGTGCACGTCCGTCAGTGGGAGTGCGGCGGCTCGGTGCACGCCACCTCCTGTGTGTGCGGCTTCGGGGCGAGGGACGGCGGCGACGTGGTCACTTTTGACATGTGCGACGGGGAAATGGGCGAAACCAAACCTCGGCTGCTGCTGAGGAACAGAGACTCGAGGAAGAGCGGCGTTCGAATCACCGAGTCGTACCAGGGCCGGAAAGTCACGGTGAGTGAAGACGACTCGTAATAAACCTGGAAATGTCTGCGCGTGTTCAAAACACAAAACGATCGACGAGAGCCGAAATCTTTTCCATCCTTGTGCAGTAAAACAGAAAATCAGAATAATGTGAGAACTTCTTACAGATCTTGGTGGTGTCACATGTTTTAAGGACAATTTCAAGAAGTTCTGCTTCATTTATGACTTTTGTCAAATAAAGTGTTTTGGTTTGAAAACATGAACCTTAATGTTGACACTTGTACAGGTAACCTTCTCCTCGGGGGCGTTTGTTCGTGCCGATGTGTCTGACTGGGGTATGAGTCTGACCCTGAGGACCCCCAGTTCAGAGCGAGACCACACCGAGGGTCTGTGTGGGACCTACGATGGGCGGCCGGACAACGACCTCCACCCAGCAGGGGGCGCTCCACTGGAGAACCTGCAGGCTTTTATCTCTGGATGGAGGTCAGTATCAGCTGCGAGGCACTGATCAAATGAGCTTGACAAAACAACAAGACTGACACCAAGATCGTCTGGACTGGTGAAGAAACAAGGAAAAAATAAGCTCTAACTGTCCTTTGGTTTAATACCAAAATATACAACAAATACAAAATTAACATTGTTCTTATTTCTTGAGATAACTAGAGAAATGGCAGTGTGAATGCTTTTTGCTGAAGAACTTACTGAAAACAGCTGAAATTAGCTAAAAAAAAACATGCTGAAATGGAAGAACAAGCTTAAATTAGCAGAAGAAAACAGAAAGAACACATATTTCCTGAATTAGGTATAAATTAGCAGAAATTAGCACCAAAATTGGAAAATTAGCTAAAAAAAAAGCTGTAATTTGGCCAAAAATAGCTGAAAAGTAACTGAAAAAGGCAGAAAGAAGCTTAAACTACCAGATGGAAGTGGAAAGAGCTGAAAAGAGCTAAAAAAAAAAGTGGAATTAGCTGAAAAGGCTAAACTTTGCAAAAAAAAAAGGTTAAATAGTAGCAGAAACAGCAGTTAAGCTGAAATTAGAAGAAAAAGCTGAAAGGAGCAGAACAAGCTGAAATTACCATAAATAAGTTAATTAGGCTGAAAGTAGCAAAAGTTACCACAAAGACTTGAATTTATCTGAAAACAGCTGACATTAGCTAAAAAAGGCTGAGAAGTTTGAACAAGCTTAAATTAGCAGAAGAAAGCAGAAAGAACATGTTTGTCCAATTAGGCTGAAAGAAGCTGAAATGAGCACAAAATAAAAAAACAGCCAAAAAGCAGCTAAAAATCAGAAAGAACCTTAAATTATCAGAAGGAAGTGGAGAGAGCACATTTTTGCTGAATTCGGCTGAAGAAAGTTGAAATGAGTGCCAAAAAATGTGGAGCTGAAAAAGGTAAAGTTAGCATAAAATAGAAGCTGAAATAGCAGAAATAGTTGAAACTGGCAGAAATAAGCTGAAATTAGCAGAAAGAAGTTAGAAGAAGCACAAAAATGTTGTAGTTAGCAGAAAGAAGCTGAAAGGAGCATAAAACAGCCGAAGAAACGTGCTGAAAGAGTAACTTCCTGTCTACGTCACGTGAACATTTCAGAAAAATGACTCTAGGGCCGATGAAAGACGCAACAATTGGAGGGAATCTTACGCACACCACAAACACACACAGGCAGAACGTGCACGTGTGCCGCGACCTGGGGATGGTCTCGTTCTGATCGGTGACATCACTCTGAGACCAGAGTGGGTGTTTCAGTGTTTTAGGTCCATTTTACAGTTGGCCAGATTTAGCTGCGTTATCTCCAGCGCATACTCTGAGAACGAGAGTTTAATTAAAACTCACCTGCAATATTCAGTTTGGCAGCCTTTCACCTTTATAAAACATGAAGCATTGTGGGTAAGTGGAGCAACAAGTACAACGTTGAAGTGGTTTTGAGGACCTAAACCAGATCCTGGGTTCAGAGTTTGACAAGTGATTGCTCTTCTTTCAGACTCCCAGCAGGCAGCAGCCTGTTTGACTCTGTCCCGCTCCACGTGAGTGCACCACAAACCCACAAGTCCTGCACCTGCCGGCTGAATCCCCACATGTCCTCTCCCAGAACTCAACACCAACAGACCACCTCCTCCGACTCCACCTGCTCTGACCATGGAATCACCAGTTTCCCCAGTTTTATCCCCTCCCTGGACGTCACAGCTGAGTATTTCAGTTCAGAGGAGCAGCCGAAGACAAACCGAAGACAGCAGCGCCGCTCTGCTGAAACCCCTCACACGCCAGACTTTTCCTCGAGCACCTTTAGAGACGGATTCCAGCTCCAGCGGCGCAGAAACAGGCGACAGATCCATCGTTTCACAGCCACACATCCATCTGTGAGCCAGTCCAAGCTGGAGAACTTCTCCTACTTCTTCCCAGAGGACCACGAAGCTGCAGTTGAAGAGGACGTCCTCCCCACGTGGCCCACGCCCTCTGGGCTGACCCAGCAGCAGGCCCGGGATCAGTGCCGGCAGTCTGTGGCCAACTCGAGCATAGCCGTGGGCTGCCGGCCCCTCCTGCAGGAGTCCATAATCAGCCGATGTGTAGATATGTGCGTCACTGACCTGCAGCTAAAGGATGAGCCGTCGTGGCTAAAAGCTACGCTGCCACTGCTGGAGAACGAGTGCGAGAGGAGGCTGGCGGAGGACAGGAGGAGAGGGGAGGGACACAGGGATGTTCAGGATGTCCTCAGGTGTCCAGACCTGTGCAACGGGAACGGCCAGTGCTTAGAGCGGGGCTGCACCTGCTTCTCAGGGTTTGGGTCATACGACTGCAGCGCTCAGACTGGTAAGACTCGAAACAGACCCGGTCTGTCTGAACGTCTCCCCTCAAACCTTACTGTCTGTAGATCAGTTCTCATTAACAGCTGTGTGGTGACAGGATCATGATGGTGGAGCCGTTAGTTTGTGAAGTGGGCTGGTTCCTCAGCTCTAACAGTCCTTTGTGTTGATGTAGATCAGACTCCAGAGCTCTCCCAGCTGGAGAACGTCCTGTGTGACGTCCGTCAGGAGGACTGCCTCACCGTCCAGGTCCACGGTCAGGGCTTCCACGAGTCCAACCAGCTCAAGTGTGAGTTTGTTAAAGAAAAGGTACTTCTTTATTATTTCTCCGAGGGTTTTCTTTGCAAACCAGAAGATATAAAAGCGTACAAGTTGGTAAACCCTTGAAAAATTGAGTCCGCCACTCGGAGCAGGAAGCTGCTTTTATGGGTAAAGAAACATCAGCAGACTCAGAGTCGAACTTTAGATTATTGTCTGAAAGTTCACGAAGCGTTCACTCTGTTGTCATCCACTTTTCTTCTGTACCTTTTTCAGCTCGATTCTCATCCCGCAGTTTTCAAACTGTTTCAACAGATCATAAATCAAAATGTTCAGCTCTTCCAGAACAGTCCTGCTATGACTTTTGGTATTGGTGCAACTTTAGCTGTTTGAAATATTTAGCCTTTTCTGACATTTTTTTGTCATAGAAAATGAACTGAGCTCATTTTCCATCCTTCAAATCTTTAGATCTGTTTACAACCTTTTACTGCTCCTTTCACATTATGTTCTGCTTCAGCTGCTTTCAGCTTATTTGTGCAAATTTAAGCATTTTTTCAGCTACTTTCAGCTAACTTTAACTGTTTTTCAGCTGTTTTTGTGCTCATTTTAGATTATTTTTGCTAACTACAACATTTTTGTGCTTTTTTAAACTTTTTTCTTCTGATTTCAGCTTGTTATGCTCCCTTTAGCTGATTTCTGCAAGTTTCAGCCTTTTCTACTATTTAACTGTTTTATGCTAATTTAAGCTTTTTCTGCTAATTCCACATTTTTTGCACTCATTTAAACTTTTCAGCCTAAATCAGCAAAAATGTGCTCTCTCCACTTCCTTCTGATAATTTAAGCTTCTTTCTGCCTTTTTAGCTGCTTTTCAGCTGCTTTTTGCTTATTTCAGCTTTTTCATATAATTTCCTTTTTTGTGCTCATTTCTGCTTCTTTCAGCTTAATTGGACAAAAGATCTTCTTTCTGCTTTCTTCTGCTAACTTAAGTTTGTTCTGCCTTTTCAGCTACCTTTTTAGCATTTTTAAGCTAATTTCAGCTGTTTTCAGATAAAGCCAAGTTTTTTGTAGTAATTTTTGCTACTTTCAGACTAATTAACTTATTTTTGCTAATTGCAGCTTGTTATGCTCATTTCAGCCTTTTTCTGCTATTTCAGCTACTATTTAGCTGTTTTTATGCTAAGTTTTGCTTTTTCAGTCCCATTCCACATTTTTTAACTAATTTCAGCTCTTTCTGCTTCATTCTGGTAGTTTAAGCTTTTTTCTGCCTTTTCAGCTACAGTATTTTTGCTAATTTCAGCTCTTTTAGCTAATTTTCAAAAGTTTATGCTAATTTCTGCTTATTTAAACCAAATTCAGCAAATACTTATTCTTTCTGCTTCTTCTGCTAATTTAGGCTTGTTCTTTCTTTTCAGCTACATCTCAGCGTGTTTTTAGCTAATTTCAGCTGTTTTTCAGCAAGTTCTTCAGCAGTAAGTGTCACACTGCATTTTCACAGGAAATGCAGTTCCTCTAGTTTTTGTTCATTCAGACTCAGTGGACGATCTGTGTTGAACTTCATCTCGTGATGTTTCAACACAACATTTAAACTCTGGCTCTTATTTTGCTGCGACAACAATCACAAACAACAAGTTGTTTTTGTTTGTTTTATGAATGCATCGTGAGCATTTCCTCACACACAGACTGGGTTGTACAAATATTTGATGCTGTTTTGAAGCTGTATACTTTTCATTATCAGTAAACCAGAAGTGTTCGTGGTTGCACAACAGAATTTTATCATCATGCTTTTTTATTCTTTATAAACTTTAGTTAACGACAGAACTTGTTGCATCTTCACTTTCTGCTCGTGAAGTTTTAATGTCCTGCTCCTAATGGCTTCCTCCGTCTTCATGGACCTTCTTCATCTCCACTTGTCCAGTCTGATGATGGCGAGTGGGTTCTGGACGCCCCTCGCTTTGTTCCGGCCACCTTTCTGAATGAAGCAGCTCTGAGGTGCCGGCTCCCTCTGGAGGACATCTGGACCCCTGCAGGAGCAGGAACCGGACCGCTGGCTCGCTGGCAGATCAAAGTAAGTCCTGGCTCCAGATGTTCAAGAGAAACTCAAAGAAACAAAACATCTGTTCATTTATTTCTTCTGCCTGATTCGAGTTAGTTACTTCTCTTCGGGAGAGCTCATAGTTGTAATAGATAGTGAGACTAACCTGTATAAATAAAGATGAAAAATGGAGCGTGGGATGTTTCTATCTTTAAATTAAGAACAGAATCTGATTTGTGCAGCTTGAGCTGCCGCCTGACTCAGGAGGAAAACAGATTTAAACTCAAGTTAGGGATCTTCTTTCAGAGCCGTCAGACACATTCAAATGTTTGTTTTGTTACGTGGGGGAGCTCGATCTGCTGCACCATGAACGATTCTCACCACATCCGCAGCAAATACTTGAAGCTATGACCCAGTTTGGGTGTTGGATGTTTCTCCCAGTGAGTCTGGCGCTAATGAAGCTTGTGCTGACGACAGGTTTCCAACGACGGCTACAGCTTCAGCAACTCCAAGATCCTGACTCTGTATGATGGAGCGTGTCAGACCTGCAGCCTGGACACGGACATCACCTGCACCCTGAGGGTGAGCTGGGACACCACCAGCTGTGCCCCTGTCTGTCTGCCTGTCTGTCTGCCTGCTGTTTGTGTGCCTGTCTGCCTGCCTGCCTGCCTGTCTGTCTGTCTGTCTGCCTGTCTGTGTGTCTGCCTGCCTGCCTGCCTGCAAGTCTGTCTGTCTGTCTGTGTGTCTGCCTGCCTGCCTGCAAGTCTGTCTGTCTGTCTGTGTGTCTGCCTGCCTGCCTGCATGTCTGTCTGTCTGCCTGTGTGTCTGTCTGCCTGCCTGTCTGTCTGTCTGTGTGTCTGCCTGCCTGCATGTCTGTCTGCATGTCTGTCTGTCTGTCTGTCTGCCTGCATGTCTGTCTGTCTGTCTGTCTGCATGTCTGTCTGTCTGTGTGTCTATCTGCATGTCTGTCTGCCTGTCTGTCTGCATGTCTGTCTGTCTGCATGTCTGCCTGCCTGTCTGCCTGCCTGTCTGTCTGTCTGTTGGGTACCTTTCAAATTATTTTTTTCATGATTTATTTATTTATTTAATTTTATCACCTTCTGCCCTCCAGTGACACCATCAAGTTATGCTAACTGTCAGCCTCACTCATCAAAGCCAGTGGGCGGGACTAACCCTAACCTTGACACCTGATTGGCTGCTCCTCACAGCAAGCGAAGACAAATCGACCACAGATAATCAATAGGCCAGAAAATATATTCCGAAACAAGTTTAGGAAGCGGTAATTGTGTTTACGTGTATTTGGATGAAACCTTTTTTCATCAGACCGAAGCAATGGATTTCACATGCTCAGCGTTAGCCCCGCCCACTGAGTTTGATGAGTGAGACTGACAGTTAACATAATTTCATGGTGACACACACGGATGGAATGTGACAAAATTAAATAATTGAATAAATCATGAAATAAATAATTTAATTTTGTATTTAATAATTTAATTGTTTACTTAATTATGTATTTAATTAAATGATACATTTCATTATTGTGTATTTATTTATTTAATTTTGTCACCCTCCATCCTCCATATTTATCAAAGTAATTTAAGAAGCTCATCAGCTGCTCTGCTCCTGATTCTTTGAAAGGCTCTGTTTTGTGAACCTGATGAGGTTTCCTGCAGAACAACCATTTAAACGTTTAAAACTCTGATCTGTTGTAATTTACTTCCTGTTTGTTTTGTTGTTTTTGCAGGAACGAGCCTGCAGCATTGATGGGAAGTGTTACAGTGAAGGCGAGTCCAGTCCCAGCACCCGCTGCCTCACGTGCCGCCCCGATGTGTCCAAACACAAGTGGTCCCAAACTGAGAGTACGTCCACGACTCTGCTTTAAAGGACTACAGTAGTCCCTCGCTACTTCGTGGTTCGTTTATCGTGAACGCGCTCTATCCCGATTTTTCAAAATAAGTGTGGATAAGACACACAGCTGACTGATTGATGGATGAGCCGCACGATCGGCATGAAATTTTTATTTAAAATAAATTATTTAAAATTATTGAGCACCTGCTGTACCTCTGTACAGCCCACACTGCAGGATAAGCTTCCTGCTGCAGCTGATCAGCTGGTCACCTGCAGAATGTAGAAGTGGGCGTGGCCAAGAGCGCTTGCAGGTGGCTGAGAGCTGAGATCATGACATTTTGTCTCTTTTAGAGCTTTTAGAGTTTAGAAACATTGTGTCGAATATTGCAAGACTGTAGGAAGGGTTAAATATACATTTATATATATATATACTAAACTAAAGTAGTACTTACTACTTGTACTACTATTCCTAGTTTGCGGTTTTTCTTTATCACGGGGCTTCAGGGTACGGATCCCCAGCGATAAACGAGGAACGACTGTATAACTAAACAAACGCACCTTCCACAGACGTCAGTGGCAAACTGTGCACGAGCCGGGCCGTCAGTTAGGAAGTGACGGTGCACGGACTGAACGTAACGTTGAAGACACGACGGAGTCACGGTCCCGTTACGCTGCGTTACGTTCAGTTGTGCGATTTAGTGACTCGCTGACAGGAAGTGACTTTTACCGTTTTATACACCGAGTAAAACATCCAACAGAACAATCTGAACTAAAGTCCACCCATTCCTGCTCCAAGATTACCCAGAAGGCACTGCGGCTCGCTCGGTGTTGTGTTCAAGTCCAACATGTAATTTCAATAATTCAGACAGGAATTTAACAGTCACCTGCAGAGAAGACTGTTTCTGTAAAACGCCATCCTTTAATACAGAAAATGATCAATGTAAACCTAAATATGGTATTTAATCTTTATTTTTGTGTGGATTTTCATATTTACAGGCTGCACATGATCAAAAATAAAGAAAAGCACGTTGCAAGGTCTGTGTTTTGGTCCCATCAGCGTTAGGATCGTTTCATTTGTCTGTTTTTAAAAGAATTCCTCCCAGAGGAGGAATCTGACCGAGCTGAGCCTTCTCTCTCCAGTTCTGACCGCTTTGGGTTGTTGGACCTCCTGAGCAGAGAATCAGACAAGTTCACTAGTTTCGAACTAAAACATTAAATTGAGCAGATGTTGGAAACAATATGGGAACAAAATCAATAAATGGGCTTGTTTACGAGGTGATATTTTTAAATGGGTCGGCACTTTGAAGTTGTAAACTGAGCGTTGCCACCTTATAAAACATGTCTGCCTTCACCGCTCCGTAACTAAAGAGCTCATCAGAACCGAGCGAGACCTGCTGAGGTAAATCCACTTATCCACCCCGCAGCTTTCGGAGGCGCTCGTCTCCGGAGGCACGTGGACGATTTGTCTGTCAGCAGATTGAACTCTTCTGTCTGCAGACGCTCACAGGAAGAACTTTACTTCTTCAGCTCCAACTGGGTCAAACGGCTCCGGTCTGTTGAGGTGAAACGATGAGAGTGGAAGAAGTTTCAAAAGTGTCACGTGGTCGTTTTTACTGGTGTCAGCGCTGGTTTCCATTGCTCAAATGTTTCTTTTAGAAACGCGTCAAAAATGTTTGAAATCTGCTGCAGCAAACCGGCTCGGTTCTTGTCTTCTTATGTAACGTTTAGCTGCTTTTAGCTATTAGCTAATGTTCTGCTTTAGCAGCCAGTTTCAGCTTATCTGAATAAAGTCACCCAGAACTCAGCATTCACTCTGGACGTGACCCGATCGATTGATTTTGATTAAAACTAAATGTTTTGACACATTTAACCACCTTTTCTCTTCATTACGCTACCCCAGCTCACATACTGATCCACTCAGTCTCTTCCTTTTATTTATTTATTTATTTATTTATTTATTTGTGCCGTCAGTCAACAACCCTCCGCTGTTCCAGCCGCCACCGTTCGACCTGAGCTCCTTCCAGGAAGAAGATTTCATCCACCAGCTCCGAGCCCAGGATCCAGAGGGCTCAGCGGTCCAGTTCAGCCTGGTTTCAGGCCCTGAGGGGGCGTCTCTGTCTCCTGCTGGCCTGCTGACGTGGAAGGCCGCCGCGCGCCCCGCGGACGCACACACCGTTCACTTCACCCTGACTGATGACTGCGGCGCCGAGACCACCGCCTCCGTGCAGGTACTCTGTCCAAGCGAGCAAGTGAAGCTGTGAGCAGGTGAAAGGGGAGGAACCGTTCGGTTTTTATTCGTTGATAAAGGAGCACGTCTGTGGAAGTCACCGGTTCTGTGTGAGCCACATCTGCTGAACAAGCAGTTTCTGTTGTTACACACCCTGCTGGGGTCAGGACACATGAAGTACGGGGTCTGAAGATGGTCACTGGGGTACAATTATAGTTTTTCATCAACAAAATAATCATTAGAATAAAAAGAAACACTGTCCAGGTTTTTGGTGCTATTGTTATGTTTAATTCCCTTTTTCATTCATTCAACCTTTATTTCTACAGGTTAATCCCATTGAGCCTCGTGGACTCGTTTACAAGAGAGACCAGATTTAACAAAGAATCATGACAACATGACAACAATAGACAATTATAAAATAGGCATACAAATTTAAATTTCTCTTTTTTTTTTTTTTTTACAGATCAAAACAAAATAGCAACCAAAAGGACAATCAAGAGGAATAGTAGTGAAAAAACACAGCTGGATTATATCCTGATGGATATCTGGATGGATATCTGGATTATAAGGCGATTTAGAAAATTAAAAAGCTAAAAACAGGAACATGTCTGTCTATTAATGTTTGTACGCTTAAACCAAGACGAGTTAATTTATTTATAAAGCTCATTTAAAAGCAACATGTTGGAACCAAAGTGCCGCACAACAGCAATATTACATAATATTACATAAGACAAAGGTAAGAATACAAACAAGTTAAAAACTAGAGAAATTGCATCTCCTGTGAAAATGCAGTGTGAATGCTTATTACAGAAGAACTTGCTAAAAAACAGCTGAAATTAGCTAAAATTAAAAACATGCTAAAACGTAGCTGAAAAGTTTGAACAAGCGTAAATTAGCCGAAGAAAGCAGAAAGAACACGTTTGCCCAGTTAGGCTGAAAGAAACAAAAATGAGCAGAAAAAAAAGAAAATTATCTGAAAAAAGCTGAACTTAGCAAAAAACAGCTGAAAAGTAGCTAAAAAAAAGTCAGAAAGAAGCTTAAATTACCCGAAGGAAGTGGAGAGAGCATATTTTTGCTAAATTAGGCTGAAAAGAATTTAAATGAGTGCAAAAACTGTGGAATTAACTGAAAAGGCTTAAATTAACATAAAACAGCTAAATAGTAGATGAAATGGCAGAAAAAGCTGAAACTTGCACATATAAGCTGAAAGGAGCATAACAAGCTGAAATTAGCAGAACAAAGTTAGAAGAAGCACAAAAATGTTGCAGTTAACTGAAAGAACCTGAAAGGAGCACAAAACAGCTGAAAATACAGCTGAAGGTAGCTGAAGGTAGCTGAAAAATGTTTAAATTTGCTGAAAGAAGCTGAAGCAGAACAAAACGTGAAAGGAGCAGTAAAAGATTGTCAACAGATCTAAAGATCTGAAGGAGGTAAAATGAGCTCAATTCATTTTCTGTGAGAACAAAAACGTCAGACAAGGCTAAATTTTTCAAAAAGCTAAAGTTGCACCAATACCAAAAGTCATAGCAGGATTGTCCTGAAAGAGCCGAACGTTTTGATTCATGATTTGTTTGATAGATTTGATTTATGACAGTTGAAAACTGCAGGACGAGATAGAAGCTGAAAAACGTACAGTCTCCCCCGAGCTTCAACCATCAGCTCGGGACCGTAAGAGGGAAGTAAGTCTGAAAGATACGAGCCGTCGTGGCATTTTTAAAGCGACGCAGAATTTTCAATCACCTCTGTGGTGCACAGGGAGCCAGAGCTGTCGGGACAGGACAGTGGAATGGGCTCAGGTTTGCGGGTTCTGGTCAGAAGAGGAGCTGCAGGACTTTGGACCGGCTGGACTGACCCGACATAAAGTGCAGCAGTCGTCCAGTCAGGTTGTGACAAAGTCTGGATTGTTTAGTTCTAGGTCCGGTTTAGTCAACACAGACTTCAGTTTGACCTTTTCTTCCTACATTTAGGTTTTAGCTTATGTTGTGGTCGTGTTTGCCTTCAGCTCATGTTTTGATGATTTTAGCTCCTGTTCTGCTTGTTGGATGTTTTTCAGCAGAACGGAGTTAATCTGTTAATTGAAGATCAAAGTGTAGAATGATGCTGATCCGTGTGACGAGGGTGAGGTTGTGGCGGTGGTCAGGGTCTGAGCCTGTGGCTCACAGTTTGTGATGCTGACAGGTCAGAGCAGCCGAACCTTCCACTGTGAGCCCAGATGTTTAGCCTTTTCCTGCCACTAGAGGGGCTTCTGTGTTTTCAGACTGGACATGTACATTTAATATAAAATATCTGAGTTGTAAGTGGATTTGAGGTTGACCTTCTTGTGCAAGAAATTCTTTCAAAGCGTGAGATAAAACCGAAGCTGGTAGTTTTTGAATTGTAAGGTTTGTACTTGTCTAGTTTTTAATTTAAGCCGTTTATTAGAAGGTTTGTCACCATGAACTGTGACTAGATGTTTTATGAAGAGCACCTGCGTGGTGAGCGACTGTTCTCCAGATTCACTCTGGTTGTGACTTCTCCAGGTGTTCGTTCGCTCCTGCGAGTGTCTGAACGGAGCTTCGTGCGTCCCGGCTGGCAGCGGGGGGTACACGTGTGTGTGTCCGGATGGCTTCATGGGCCGGAGGTGTGAGGTGGACGTTGATGACTGCAAACCAAACCCCTGCAGACTCGGCCTCTGCATCGACGCACCCAACTCGTTTTCCTGCGTCTGCCCGCCTGGAGTGACAGGTAGGACCGGCGGTGCCGTAGATCTTATCCAGGTGCACAGAAGAACGCTTCAACCATTCTGGTTTCTGTAGAGCCCGACCCATATGGAAAGTTTGGATATCACCGATACCGATGTTTGTGTCAGGGTTTCAAGGCAGATCAGGACAGGAGAACCCAGTTGTGCAGGCAGGACTCAGGAGGCAGACGTATAAAATAAAATACTTTTAATAATAATAATAATAAATCAAAAGGCTGACATGGCAGCAAAACTTACAAAGCAGATTCAAGAACAGGATCAGACAGGATCAAACAGGATCAGACAGGCAGGACCCAACGACGAACCGACACTGACCGGACTAACAGACAGACTTTATATACACAAACGGGACATGACACAGGTGACGATAATCAGACAGTCAATAGAGACACAAGGGAGAACAGACGGGGAAGGCCCACTAGATGGCGCCGGGAGGCTGATGCTGATAACTGATGTATTGGCTGAACATTTTTGATCTTTGTCCATAATGTATAAGAAAACAACGACTTTTAAACCTGTTTTAACTCTTGAAGTCTTGAAACAGTCTCTTCCTAACCTGCGTTCACTTTTTCTATCCTCCACTATTCCCCATAAAGTTATCAAGTGTTACAAAAACATAAACTTAACAAAGAAACTCCTTCCTGTTCAGGGTTTAAGTCCCGTACGGTGACGGTCTGATTAGTGTTGACCACAGCAGAGGTTTCTTTTTCTTTGCAGGGAAGATTTCAGGCAAACGATGCATTTTATTGAGGACGACAAAGATAACGTTACTAACACTGATATATTTTACTTCTACGTTAAATTTATTGTTCTAAAGTTTTACGAAACAATAGCCTATGCTAGGTCATCTAAATGTTAGCTTGCTAACTAGAGAGGCGCGTAGCTGATGACGAGCAGGTTGGAGGATTGAAGAGGATTTATTATTGATTTATTTTACAGATCAGTTGAAACAAACTTACCATGCTCTGTTCAGTAAAATACACTTCACAGTATTTAGTTGTTCGCTGCTTCAGCTGTGCAGAGTCCAGTGACTTGAGCATAGTCTGCATGCGCCCTCTGCTGGATACTTGGTACAATTACATCTTTTGCAAGTAAGGACACGGCTCATTCCAGCATTTTAAGGGTGAAAATTAAAAGTGTTTATATTGACACAAAATGGGACATTTATCACTGATACGTCTCTAAATGCCTAAATTGACCTAAAATATCGGCCCTACTGATAAATCAGCCGGGCTCTGGTTTTCTGTGTTCGTCTTTAGAGTTGACCAGAGGAAAATTAATACTTATAGTATCATTCTTGTCCATTACATTATAATTATTCATCAAATTTAGTATTAAAATCACACTTGCCTGGTTCAAAACCTGTCAGGCGTTATACTGCGCTAAACACCTGCAGTAGAATTTTTAAATTCATTTTTTTAGCATTTTGCTCAAACTGTTCATTTTAAGTTGATTCATTTAATTTATTTATCAGGTTTTGTTTAATTATCAGTAGATCAGGATGCTAAACGTCCTCTGACTCCCCCCTCAGCACCACAGGGCTGTGTCTACAGGGGGTTGGGGGGGGACCCAACTCAACCCCACGGTGTTGCAGAAATATTTTGTTCTGTTGCGTCCAGTGTTGGACGTAAACTGCACAAATCAATGTAGATACTTCGTTGTGAATAGTATTTTTGTATTCATGATATTTTTTACTATTTTAAGATTTTTGTCTCCAGTTTTCTTGTTTATGTTATTTTGTTACGACGTCTTCATTTAAATTTATAATTTGCTCCAAACCAGCACCTTTCTACATTTTTTTAAAATTTCTAGTGTTATTTGATGTTTCTTCTTTGGTATTAGTTTTTTTTTATTTTTTATTTTGTGACAAAAGTGACAGAAAGATGCATAAAATACTGTGTACTGCTACACAAATAACTTGAACTTCAAACCTTAATTAGAAAATGATCAATTTATCATCTTTTACTTTTTAATGAAATTTTACAGCAAACATTAAAATAGTTCAACTAAATGTTTTAAGATAAGTGATAATGGTTTTGTTGTTGTTGAGCATTTCTTTTGATGTTTTCTGGAAATCTTGACGATCAACAGGAAACAGCTGAGCTCATTATTGACAGGAGTCTTCGGGGCTCAAAGTGAACTAACCTGTTTAAATAATAATAATTATTATGGAACTGTGATTTACCTTTATTTATTTTTTCTAAAATAAATCAGCCCTTTGTTTGTTGACAACTTCATAAAAATAAAACCAGTGAAACTGTATTTTAAAGACTCCTGTGTCGTGTTTAGCGTTCGTGATAAATTATTAACATTCAGGGCTTTGAACGTTGGTCTTGTTGTGATTTCTTCTGTTTTTCAGGACGGACCTGCAGAGAAGATCTAGACGAGTGCCTCTCTCAGCCTTGCTTTCCCTCTGTGAGCTGCACCAACACACCGGGCTCCTTCTTCTGTGGATCGTGTCCACGAGGACGCCGTGGTGACGGCAAAACCTGCAGCCGTGAGTCCCGTTAGGCTCGGAGTTGGTTTCAGGAGTTAAACACCGACGTTAATACAGCTGTGGGAGAAGAAGAGTCGTTCTTCAGATGCTGCTACTTCTCGTGACTTCTGTAAATAAAGTCCCATAATCAAGCTCGCGTTTGTTTCCAAGGCGACCCGGAGTCTCCGGTTGTGGAGGTGGTGACACCGCAGGTTCTACCAAGACCCAGACCATCAGGTCTGTCTCCGTGCAGCAGAGCGCCGTGTCATCCGGGGGTCCGGTGCTTTGAAAGCGTCCACATTTCAGCAGGTTTCGCCTGCGGACCCTGTCCTCCTGGTCTCCATGGAAACGGACAAACGTGCACAAACTCTGGTGAGAGTTGATGCTGCTTTCTCAAATCAGGTGAAGTTAGACTGATGTGCCCAAATCACTGCGCACTGACAGAATGAGACAAATACAGGAAGATGTTTCAAAAATAGAAGTTGCTTTTTTTTATTTGTTTTATTTTTAAATGTGGCAAAAAGAGAATCCTGAAACAAACGGACATCGTGCCACGACTCACCCGTCACAGAAGCATTGGCTCTGTTCTTTTTGTCGTCTGACGTTACGAACAATCCTAAATATTACAAAATAAAGTATAAATGAGTATTGTTGCATGAAAGAAGTGAATACCATGGTGTGTGTCTTTGAAGCTGTGAAGAAAGTAGAATATTTGGAGCCGATGGTCCAAACCTGTAAATTAAATTCATAAAAAAGCTCATTTTTAATGTTGATTAAAGCTGTTTGACAAACCTCGACACACGAGTTAAAAGTGGACAGACGCCAGTCAGGAAACATTTTTTAAGCCCGACAAACGAGGAGGAGAAGCTGCTAGCGGGTCTTACAGAGAGCGGTCTCCAAATGAAACAGTTCTGGTCCAAACTGAAGACGTTTAGTTCACAGGACGGAGTTCAAGAGGGAAGGATGAGAAACTAGAACCATCTGTAAGACATGGTGTAGGCGTTATCATGGTTTGGTGCATGCTTTTCATCATTAATGCTACAAGTTCTGTCAAAGGAATGTTTTTGGCTCCTCATTGTCAAAAAATGGGGCGTGGCCTAAAACTTTGAGCCGAACTTGGTTTGACTGAATCTGTTGTTGTTTATCTCTGAGGCTGTTTGTTGTTTTTAACGCCCAGTGTCTTGCAGGTCAGCGAGCAGTCAGCGCTGGAGCAAACGGTCAGAGTCGCACCCACAAGTCCAATCCCAGCCCGGAGAGAACGTCTGCGTCCTCTTCGTCATCTCCTTCGTACAGACCTGGCAGGAAGTTGAGACCCGAGAGCTTCAGAAGAGTTTCTCTTGAAGACAGGAAGCCGACAGAGACGCCACAGAATCAAACAGCGCTGGCTCCTCCTGTCCACAGGGGGCAGCTGACCTCTGACCTCTCAGCTGGAGTCAGGTGGAGGTCCCCAACCCACCAAGTGACCTGCACTGACCCCCCCTGCTTCCCTGGGGTTTCCTGTGAGGCCACGGGCTCAGGCTCCTCCAGGTGTGGGCGCTGCCCGTACGGGTACACGGGGGATGGCGTCACCTGTAAAGGTGGGCGAGTTTTATAGCGAGACGTCGAGGAAAAGTAGCTAAAGAAATCCTAAAGGCAAAGCACGCGAAAACCTTTATATCATTAAATAATCTTTTAATCCTTCATTAATCTTATATTTTACTTTAAATTCTAAAAAAAAAAAAAAGAAATACATTGTGACCGCTTCAAATCTTTTAAAACGTTTAGTTTGAAAACGTGTGCCTCATTTAGCTTTAAGCTACTTTCGTTTTTAGCTATGGTTCTGCAACTCTATCTTTTAAGCATTCATTATGCTACCTGTAGCTTTTAGCTGCTACCTGTAGCTTTAAGCTGCCACTTTTAGGCTTTAGCTTCCATTCTGCTGCTTTTAGATTCATTTTTTACTCTTTTAGCTACCATTTAGCTTTTTTTAGCAGTTTTGCTGATTTTAGCTTTAAGCGTCTGTGTTGCTGATGCGCCCTGTTCGTAGTGTCGACTGTTTTCAGGTATTTAATGTTGTTTAGAATTGATATGATTTTCTGAAGTTAAAGTTTTAAATGACAGATTTTCAGGGGTCGGTCTCTTCAGGTTTGTGCAGCATCGTAGCTCAAGCTGTTCTCTAACCAGACGAGCTGAACTTCAGCTTTTATAAATGGTCGTCGCTGCTGTTCAGGAAATCTGATCATCTACGTTCCCTAAAGCTGAAATGGATCCCTCGGCCTGCCTCTTGAGCTTCCGTCGCAGTTAGCTGCTGTTTTTGTTGCAGCTGTGTGCAGGTATCTGTGTGGGAGGAACATGGCGTGCACGCTGCCCAACACCTGCACCTGCAAACACGGTTACACCGGATTCAACTGCCACATAGGTGACAGCGACACGGTCTCTCACTGTTTGTTTATTTCTGCAGACAAACGAGCTCATTAACGACTCATCACCCGCCAAGTTTCAACTCATTTACCTCCGTGCGTGGTTGTGTTGATTTGATGTGTCTCAGCTGTGTGTCGACCCGACTGTAAGAACCAGGGGAAGTGTGTGAAGCCCGGTGTGTGTGAGTGTCCTGCAGGCTACGGCGGGCCCACCTGTGAGGAAGGTAACCTGCACTCAGACTCACACCGACTCTGAAGCTCCCAAATTACTGACGGGTGTTTGTGTTTGTGGTGCAGCGAGCTGCGAGCCGCCCTGCCAGCACGGAGGCACCTGTCTGAGCAGAAACCTCTGCACCTGCTCCTACGGATACCTGGGGCCCAGATGTGAAACCAGTAAGATCCTTCTGCTGACTCTAACCCAGTAACACCTCAGCAAGCATGTTGGTTTTCCATGAGGCAACATTAGCATGAAAAGCTCGACCAGCTCCCACCACAACACGAAACATCTTTTCTTTCAAAGTAGTTTTAGAGAAAAGCTTCTCGTGTTTCACATGTATGACAGCAAAGATGTCACCGCTGTCAGTCACGTGCATGATCTTTAACGTGACTGTCAGTTGTACCCCAGTTCAACCAAAGCGAGTTAGAAAAGCCATGGAAGCTGCAGCAGCAGTCACAGATTGACACAAAGGAGCGCTCGCGCACCTTGACGTCAGCAGCGTCCACATCTGTTCTGCATCTGCCCAGACGTGGCCTCCTTCAGTAACTCCCTGCAGTCCATTGAAAAGTTCTGATGATGCTCATGTTCCTCTCAGTGGTGTGCAGCAGGCACTGCGAGAACGGAGGCGTGTGTGTTGCTCCTGATGTGTGCAGATGTGAGCCTGGCTGGTTCGGACCGACGTGCGGCTCAGGTAGAGAAGGAAACGAGTTTCTTTTCTTGTGTCATCGCTGCGAGGAACCCGTGCGCTGACTGTTTGTGTGACCTGCAGCTGTCTGTGAGCCCGTGTGTCTGAACGGAGGGGCGTGTCTGAAGCCAAACGTCTGCGTCTGCCCCACCGGATTCTTCGGATCTCGGTGCCAAATCGGTAATTGGACCCGGAATAAAACCCAAAATGGCACTTGTGCATCCTTCTGCTTCACCACTTTGATTTTTATGTTTGTCATTTTCTAAAAATATGCAGCTGAGAGCTGCGAGGCTGCGCTGAAGTTTGTTGAAGCGTGAAGTGTTAATGTCAAAACAAGCAGGAGCTAAAATCATTAAAACAATGGCTAAAAAATAAAATGAGCAAAACCCAAGTGTAGCAAAACATTGTTGTAGCAAAACCATAGCTAAAAGCAGAAATTAGCATAACAGTAGCTGAAAGCTAAATGTAGCAAAACAGTAACTACACTTAAACGTTGCAAAAACATAACTAAAGGCTAAAATTACATCAGAAGCTGCAAAAATCTTAAAGTAGCAAAACTATGACAGCAAGCTAAAATGAACAAAACCAAGGTTAAAAGCTAAAAGTAGCTCAAGTGTAGCTGAAATTAGCTAAACTATTTCTAAATGTTAAAATTAACAAAACTATAGCTAAAACTAAATTTAGCTAAACCAAACTTAAAATGCAAGAATTAGCTAAATATGAGCTAAAATCCAAATGTAGCAAAACTGTAACTAAAAGGTAATAGTAGCAAAACTATAGCTAAAAGCAGAAATTAGCATAGCAGTAGCTGAAAGCTAAGTATAGCAAACAGTAACTAAACTTAAATATTGCAAAAACATAACTAAAGCTTAAAATTACTTTAGAAGCTGCAAAAACCTTAAAGTAGCAAAACAATAAAAGCAAACTAAAATTAACAAAACCATGGTTAAAAGCTAAAAGTAGCTAAATTGTAGCTGACATTTGCAAAACTGTGTCTAAATGCTAAAATTAACAAAGCTGGCTAAAACCCTAACATAGTAAAACTGTAACTAAAATATAATACTGTAGTAGCTAAAAGCTAAAATTACTTAAACACCAAAAACCTTAAAGTAGCAAAACAGTGGCAACAAATAAATGAACAAAATCATAAACCATAGCTAAAAGCCAATGCTAACAAATAGCTTAAAGTTAATGTGTAGCTTATAGTTGAAATTGCCAAGATAACAGCTAAAGCTAAAAGGAGACTATAAAGGCTAAAATGGAGTAAGTGGGTTGAAATGGAGCTCAGGGAATAACATTTTGAAGGAACTGAAGAGTTCTTAACGTACTTATATGTGGAAATGTTTGTAAATAAAGTTAAAACATGTAAAAGTTAGAAATGCTAAAAGTTGTAGCACACCATTCCTATTAGAGCCAGATGTTTTGATATATAAATGGTTAAATTAGTACGAACTATGAATAGTTTGCAGAATAAACTCTAAACAGGAAACCATCAGTGAGAATGCTGACTCGGCATCTTTCGCCTTTGATGTGACGGGGACGTTGTTTGTTTCTAAAATGTTTTAAATGTTTCTGTCTGCCAGCTGTTTGCAGTCCACCCTGTAAAAACGGAGGTCAGTGCATGAGAAACAACGTGTGCTCGTGCCCTGAAGGCCACACAGGACAAAGGTGTGAAAAGAGTGAGTAGGTCCCACCCTGAGCTGTTTCGAGGAGCGTTTGTTCAAAATACGGTGGGAAACGTGTCAATCAGCGCTCGAACGCATCTCCTCCAGGCGTGTGTGAGCCCACGTGCGTGAACGGAGGCAAGTGTGTGGGACCGAACACGTGCTCCTGTGCGTCCGGGTGGAGGGGGAGGACATGTGACACACGTGAGTCACGTAACACCATCATGTGTTTTCAGATATTCAGCTAAAACTTGACTTAAAGGATTCACAATCACAACTCGCACAAGATATTAGGCGGGGTCACGTTATCTTCAGAGTTGGATCAAAATAGTTCTCACTCCATCATAACCAGTGGTGGCTGGTCGCCGCCCAACCACTCACACCACTTACCTTATTACCTTGAAGATTATAAAAATTAAATTAAAATGAAATAATAAAATAAAAATATATTTCAAAATATATGTATATTTTTTGTTGTTGTGTCGGATCAATATTTTATAGTTGATGAGTAAAGTTGCTTCTTTCAAAAACGTCTCTGATTGGTGACGTATTTCTGCCCTGGGGGCGGAAGAATCTTTGCCCATAGACTCTCGTTAAAAGTTGTACGTGTGCAGTAGCTCCTATTCCAATACAAGAGATAGGAAGAATCTGGGCGCACCACTCCTGCGCCCAGAATACGGGCGCACGGTACGGATTGTGCTTCTGATATATATATATACATATACATACATACATATATATACATATACATACATACATATACATATACATACATACATATATATATATATAT